CATGTACTGTAACTCCTCTCCAACGGTCCTCAAATCTCTCTTTTAACTCACCACATGAGTCCCAAATGCCACCCTATTCGCTACAGTGCCTAGTCAAAAGCAGTGCACTACATAGGGATTAGGGTACAATTTGGGATGAAACCTCCGTCGGCCCAGCCGAGGGGGCGCTGATGTGATGCTAGGTGATGGTGAGCTGCTTGTGCATGCAGGGTGAGATCAGACAGAACTGAAGCAGTGCATTTTTTACAGGCGGAGGAGGTCAGAGGATGAATGCACCGCTGATGATGAGAGACATTTGCGCACTACCTGTGGTTGCAGACTGAGAGAAATAAGAGAGAGAAGAGAGGGGGAGAGAGGGAGTGAGAGGGGGAAGAGAGAGGGTGGGAGAGAGAGGGGGAGAGGAGGAGAGAGGGGGAGAGAGAGGAGGGGTAGAGAGAGGGGGAGAGGAGGAGAGAGGGAGAGAGGGGGGGAGAGAGGGAGGGTAGGAGAGAGAGGGGGGAGAGGAGGAGAGAGGGAGAGAGGGGGAGAGAGAGGGGGGAGAGGAGGAGGGGGAGATAGAAAGGTACATAAGAAGGAATGGAGAGAAGTGGAGAGATGGTGAATATGGAATGGAGGGGGAGATTTTAACAAAGACAGAGGGAGAAACCTACTGGGCAAAATGTGATAGAATCAATGTTGTTTCCATGACATTTCAACTATAACATCCAATGTGATGACGTTGATTCAACGTGGAAAACTGATTGGATTTGCAAAAAGTATTCAACATAAGGGAATTTCGTCTTTTATTCACCCAACTTTGAGCCTAAACCCAATGACATGGTGAAATGTTTGGTTGATTTCACATTGAATTCATATTAGTTGACAACTCAACCAAATGTAAATCAAAACTAGACGTTGAAATGACGTCTGTGTCCAGTGGGAAGGGTCAGGGAACGGACGTGTAACTTGAAAACTCAAAATGGCACCCTATTCCCTTAATAGTGCACGGGCTTCGGTCAAAAGTACTGCATATATAGATGGGTTGGTTGTTTAGCAACAAACCGACACGTGCGCAAATATGGGGCAAAGCAGACGGGGTTGGCTTAGACTGTTGACAACATGTAAACTATATTTAGTCTCAAATGTTTATTAAAAACATAAATATATTTACACAATAAGCATTTGTTGTCTCTCAAATACATCATTGCAGTTGTTGGTTAGCTAGCTAGCGAATTTTTGCCATCGACATGAAATCAGTCAAAACACCTCAAAACAAGACATGGTATCAAGAACAAGATGAAACCAGCTGAAAGGAGCCACCTATGATTCCCCACATGGCAGTTTCTTCTCCCTGTTGGTAGCTATCTGGCCATCCAGAATCACAACAACTCATTGACTTCTTCCCCATTGAGGCGTGCACATCGTTTTCCTGACGTTGTCAGCTAACCCTTCTATAGGAAGTAGGGTGCCTTTTGGGACACAGTCTAGAACACGTTGGTACTCTATAGGAAACCCTGCAGGGGTCGGGAGATAAAGGGTTTGGTACTCTATAGGAAACCCTGCAGGGGTCGGGAGATAAAGGGTTTGGTACTCTATAGGAAACCCTGCAGGGGTCGGGAGATAAAGGGTTTGGTACTCTATAGGAAACCCTGCAGGGGTCGGGAGATAAAGGGTTTGGTACTCTACAGGAAACCCTGCAGGGGTCGGGAGATAAAGGGTTTGGTACTCTACAGGAAACCCTGCAGGGGTCGGGAGATAAAGGGTTTACCCTGTTCTACTGACTGCTATATCAGTCTGTTAATACAGGACTAGTAAAGGCCCAGTGTTACAGACTGCTATATCAGTCTGTTAATACAGGACTAGTAAAGGCCCAGTGTTACAGACTGCTATATCAGTCTGTTAATACAGGACTAGTAAAGGACCAGTGTTACAGACTGCTATATCGGTCTGTTAATACAGGACTAGTAAAGGCCCAGTGCTACAGACTGCTATATCAGTCTGTTAATACAGGACTAGTAAAGGACCAGTGTTACAGACTGCTATATCAGTCTGTTAATACAGGACTAGTAAAGGCCCAGTGTTACAGACTGCTATATCAGTCTGTTAATACAGGACTAGTAAAGGCCCAGTGTTACAGACTGCTATATCAGTCTGTTAATACAGGACTAGTAAAGGACCAGTGTTACAGACTGCTATATCGGTCTGTTAATACAGGACTAGTAAAGGCCCAGTGCTACAGACTGCTATATCAGTCTGTTAATACAGGACTAGTAAAGGCCCAGTGTTACAGACTGCTATATCAGTCTGTTAATACAGGACTAGTAAAGGCCCAGTGTTACAGACTGCTATATCAGTCTGTTAATACAGGACTAGTAAAGTCCCAGTGTTACAGACTGCTATATCAGTCTGTTAATACAGGACTAGTAAAGGACCAGTGTTACAGACTGCTATATCAGTCTGTTAATACAGGACTAGTAAAGGCCCAGTGTTACAGACTGCTATATCAGTCTGTTAATACAGGACTAGTAAAGGACCAGTGTTACAGACTGCTATATCAGTCTGTTAATACAGGACTAGTAAAGGCCCAGTGTTACAGTGTATTTCTCAGGGGGTGCTGCAGCACACTCAGCACCCCTACTTCCTGTTGCTATGGGGATAATTTTGCAATCTAGTCATTGATGGTGTTTACCTCTCTCATAAAATAATGCACTGCTGACACAATCAAATGCAAAATAATTACAATATTACAAATTGAGATTGTTTTATTGTGTCACCAAATGATGTCATATTATATAAGACCTACACATCAGGGTTGCGTTCAGTACGACAGAACGGTGTGCAGCAACGGAAACGGTGGGGTGTCGGGGAGTGTGAGGGGACACACTAACACACACAGACACACTCTAATACACAGACACACTCTAACCCACACAGACACACTGTAACACACAGACACACTGTAACACACAGACACACTGTAACACACAGACACACTGTAACACACAGACACACTCTAACCCACACAGACACACTGTAACACACAGACACACTGTAACACACAGACACACTGTAACACACAGACACACTGTAACACACAGACACACTGTAACACACAGACACACTGTAACACACATACACACTGTAACACACAGACACACTGTAACACACAGACACACTGTAACACACAGACACACTGTAACACACAGACACACTGTAACACACAGACACACTCTAACCCACACAGACACACTGTAACTCACAGACACACTGTAACACACAGACACACTGTAACACACAGACATACTGTAACACACAGACACACTCTAATATACACAGACACACTGTAACACACAGACACACTGTAACACACAGACACACTGTAACACACATACACACTGTAACAACACAGACACACTGTAAACAAACAGACACACTGTAACACACAGACACACTGTAACCACAGACACACTGTAACACACAGACACACTGTAACACACAGACACACTGTAACACACAGACACACTGTAACACACAGACACACTGTAACACACAGACACACTGTAACACACAGACACACTGTAACACACAGACACACTGTAACACACAGACACACTGTAACACACAGACACACTGTAACCACACACACCACGACACACTGTAACACACAGACACACGTAACCACACACACGTAACAAAACAACTGTAACACACAGACACACTGTAAACACACAGACACACTGTAACACACAGACACACTGTAAACACACAGACACACTGTAACACACAGACACACTGTAACACACAGACACACTGTAAACACAGACACACTGTAACACACAGACACACTGTAACACACAGACACACTGTAACACACAGACACACTGTAACACACAGACACACTGTAACACACAGACACACTGTAACACACACATACACACTGTAACACACACAGACACACTGTAACACACAGACAAACTGTAACACACAGACACACTGTAACACACATACACACTGTAACACACACAGACACACTGTAACACACAGACACACTGTAACACACAGACACACGTAACACCACAGACACACTGTAACAACACACAGACACACTGTAACACACACAGACACACTGTAACACACAGATACACTGTAACACACACAGACACACTGTAATAACACAGACACACTGTAACACACAGACACACTGTAACACACACAGACACACTGTAACACACAGACACACTGTAACACACAGACACACAGTAACACACATACACACTGTAACACACACAGACACACTGTAACACACAGACACACTGTAACACACAGACACACTGTAACACACAGACACACTGTAACACACACAGAGACACTGTAACACACACAGACACACTGTAACACACATACACACTGTAACACACACAGACACACTGTAATAACACAGACACACTGTAACACACACAGACAACTGCAACACACAACACACTGTAACACACACAGACACACGTTTTAACAACACACAACACACTGTAACACACACAGACACACTGTAATCACACAGACACACTGTAACACACATACACACTGTAACACACACAGACACACTGTAACACACAGACACACTGTAACACACAGACACACTGTAACCCACACAGACACACTGTAACACCACAGACACCACTGTAACACACAGACACACTGTAACACACACAGACACACCTGTAACAACACAGACACACTGTAACACACAGACACACTGTAACACACAGGACACACTGTAACACACAACACCAGACACACTGTAAACACACAGACACACTGTAACACACAGACACACTGTAACACACAGACACACTGTAACACACAGACACACTGTAACACACAGACCCGACCACACTGTAACACACAGACACACTGTAACACACAGACACACTGTAACACACACACTACCAACACTGTAACACACAGACACACTGTAACACACAGACACACTGTAACACACACAGAC